CCATGAAACAATAAACTAGGCAGTGCCAACCGCACATTGTTAAGAACATGACGATGTTCCTTCTTAACTGCAGTGCAGTCATCCAGAACATAAACCGCCATTGGCAGAAGTAGCTGTTACTGTAACTTAGAACTGGCATCACACATAGCACTCCACCACCTGAAGTACTTCTCACACTGATTTCTGAGTCCCAGTTTCACACTATTTACCTTTCTCATACAGAAATCTGCAACACAGGCTGGCCACTGCCCCTTTAGAAACAAAGGAGAAGGGATGGCAATTTAGAAATCCAGCTCTTACACAGGCTGAGGAGATAACTCTCTCCTTCTCCATCGCCGACAGAACCTACAGCGGCTGAAACCTAATTCAGCTGTCATGGGTACCTGCCTAGAACTGGGTGAAATCTAACTCTTAGCCTCATCCTTGTCTTCTAAGCTTATCTCCAATTATTTTTTTATAGTGCACTGGGCTTTTTCTTTTCAACTGCCTACAGTGAGAGTCTTCAGGAGAGAAGAGGTTCATCTCACAAAAGCTCTCCCCGGTATAAATTCATAAACAATAAACACATCTCTGGAGCCTATTATGTGTCTGCTTTTCATCAGCCTTGAGTTAGTACATAAAGGAAAACCTCCAGCCCCTTGTCTGTGCATTTATTCAGTTCCAGCCTTTATGAAGTAGAAACTATGAGAACTCCTTGTCTAGTACAGAACGTCAATTGTCCTCCATCACTTTTTGTGCTGGGCAGCTTAGTGGGAGTTCTAAAAAATGAGGTTTAGATTAATGCTAAAATTCAGGCATGCCTCTGATGACTAATGCTTGTAACCTGTCAGAAGTGATGAATGGCAAACAAATTGCCGAAGTCGTCTATCTGGCTACTGCAGGAAACTGCTCTCAAAGTTTTTGGTCTGGAAATGGGGGCTTTGTGAAAAATAGCCTCTTAGGCTTCTTTAAGTAGTCTTGTTGATAGTGATTTACGTAGGAAGTCTTGCTTGCAGTATGAAGATGCTTTATTAAAATGGATTCCACATTTCCGCCTGATGAGAGTCCTTTCATTATTTGATAAATCCAGATGTTCAGTTTGCAATTCCTCCTGAAATCAAGAAGCATATCTACCTAAAAGCATCTAAACGTGACAGAAGACAAGACCTGCTCCTGCTTTTAACACAGTATGAAGGCACAGAGAAAACATTTAAGGATGTCTCACAAGGGAAAGAAGAGACCAATGAGCATGCATTTAAACCTGTCACCAGAAAATCTGGCCACAAAAATCAAACTCAACATGACACGAGTGTTCAGAACACCACAGGTTACTCTGAACTCTAGCCTTTAATACAAGTGCACTGAATACTACCACAACTATGCCAACACTTCTTTTCCTTTTTAAAAATTACCATAAAATAGGTTTCAGGTGAGAGTAATAGGAGTGCATCACTTATATTTACTATTGCTGCTGCCTACTTCATTCAAGGACATTTCCTTGTATTCATCTTCGTAAGTTTCTTAAAACTCATATAATGTACTTTCATAAGATTATTGTTTTAACCTTACATATACATGGGAACAACTAACGCAAAAAAAAAGTGAATCTCATTCATAATGATAAGCATCAGCAGCTGATTCCCATAAGACTAATTTCATAGAATTCTGGCAAAGCCCAGATGATGTACCATGCCAGGCAATGAAAAAAAGATGCTAAGACGGATACACCTTAGCTGATTATAAATATCTTGTAAACAGGAAAGTCCACGTGTACAGGGACAAAATCTGCATCATGAAATTATTCATACTGTATAAATGACAAATTCTTAAGTATTCTGTCTGCAGCAGATATTTAGCACTGATGTGCAGCCATGCATGCAGGCCATACTATCTGCCATTAACTTACATGGTCAGTAAAGCATGCAGATCATCATCAGCCACTGGCAACTTGAAGGACTTGCAAATAGTCCTACAGATCTCATGGGGCAGCACTCCACGCCTACACAGAAAGAGAGGAGGAGAAGAATACATTAGGTGTTTTCCAGATTTACTTCAAGTGATTGTTGCTGTGAAGAGGAAAACATGTGAGGAATACTGGGGTAGAGGTAAAGAAAACAAGGTTTTAAGAAATTTTACTATTACAAAGCTGAGAATCTTGAAGTGCACATGGTGGCCTGTCTCCCACACACTGAGGTCCCTAGTGATTTTCTCTGGTTCTTTATCTGTGACATCAGAGAACAAAAAGGGCAAATGAGTCATAAGAAGATTCAGCTACAAATCCTTTCTTTTTTCCCTTATATCACTGTTCTTCCTCTTTGATTTAAAATACTATGTTTTGCCTGTGAATGGGCATCTGGTTATGTCACAGAACGTTCACAACAGCAGCTCTAATAAAAAGTGCACAAACAAAAGGAAGAAAAGTCAAAAAGGCTATCCTTTTCTGGTCTACTGTCAAGTGCTGAAAGAGATGTAACATTACAAATAATATTCTTTGGCCACGATACACCATTTGCTCAGCAACAAACAGAAAGTGGGTAGGTTTACAAGCAGAGCTTCCCAAATAACAGCTTAGGATAAACAGAGGAAGCTTACTTTTCACGGTCATTGTATGTAAGCACCGCAGACAGTTGTTCAAAATTCTCAAAGCTATTTTTCTTCAGTTTTTCTTGAGCCACTGCAAGGAGGAAGTGATGGTCCATTTCATGTTCATCTCTCACACTGTAATAGCGCCCCAGAGTCATAATTTCATGATCTGAAAACGCTCCATCCGTGATACTGATTATCGAATTTCTGTACACAAAGACAACAGCCTACATAAGTTTTAAGTAAAGGAGTTAAAAAGAGTTAATAACCACTAAATTTCAGAGGGAAAAGAAGCATTAAAATGCACTCATTACCAAATGCTGTACTTAGATCTTTAAAGAATGTATCTACTTAAATTTGTAATCCAGATCTGTTCAAGGAGATATAATGGAAATTACCTGAACCCTTAAACTTTTACAGGATGCCCACATTTGCTCATAGTTGGCTACACATACAAAATTACATAATAATCATGACTGAAGTCTTTTACCGGAGATGCCATATTGGCAAGGAATATTGGCAGCATTGTGAAAGCTGGGCCTGCTGGGTAGCTTTCAGGGAAAAGCTGGGGGAAGGGAAACAGAAATTGGTCAAAGAGAGAGCAGAAAATTACACTCGAATTGTAATCACAAGCCCTCCTGGCAAGATTGAAAGACAGGAGGCAGTAGTAAGACCAGTTCGTGCTTGGACACTGTCAGCAGAGAATCAGATCTCATTCAGGAAAGAGTCTGAGATGCACTCTCCCAAGATTGCTTGTGCTTGTCAGACAAATCAGCCCAGCCCAAGGAAGAAGAAATGTTCCTGAGATCCATCTGATGGGCCAGTGCTGGCACTGAATGACTAGTCATTCCTGTTAATATCAAGAATTTGTCGCTGGTAAAACAGCTGGAGTGTTTTCCGGCTAAGCTCCTGAGGGCACTGGCAGTATAGCAGCAAATGGACACAAGCTTTGGAGCTTAAGAACCAGGTCTACTAATTAGAGTTCAGTGCAATTTCCCTCTGCTTTATATCACTGGTGGAGGGGAGGAGAAGGACTAATTATAAAGACTACGTTGCCTTTGTATTAGGGGTTTTGTTGCCTTCAATGACTACAGAGTTATTCCTATGTCCTGGATGTTGACACAATGTAAGGGAAGAAAACCACCAGTAGTGAGGTACGCAAGGAAAACTAGGAGGCTTCCTGCTCTCCTGGAAAAAAAATTGTCTCAATTGTAGGTTACTTCAGCTGTTACAAGGCCTCTTGTCAAACCTGGCTTAGTGTAACTATATGTTGGTATTATGAACCCAAACACCTGTCCCTGTTGAACTCGCAGTTCAACAGGATTTTTAACAGCAAGCATCAACACGGGCCTATGTGTCCCAATTATTATTAACTATATTTAATACTTCTGGATAAACTGCATTAAGAATAAACTTCACCATAATTGCTGATGCAATTAGAGCTGTACCCTCTGGCACCCGTGGGGGTACTGCATCACTGTTGATTATACACCGATCTTTGAAAACAATTGGAAGACATTAGTGATGCACAAAGTTCTGACACAAGACAAACTTCTCGCTGGAGAATAGGTAAATTATTGAATTGATCTGATAATGAGTCTCAACATCCACATCTGAACTGGAAGGACAAAAACTTTGTAGCCTTCCAACTTGCAGGATTTTATGAACAATTTTTCACTTGCTTCCCCTCGGAGGCTTGTACAGTCTTGTTCAAATGGAGATATCTCTTCATAGAATATGACTGCATTTACAGAGCTATTCAAAAAAGAATGCTGAACAGTGTGTAGTGTCTACTTTGTTTCAACTGCTGCTTTCTTCATATTAATCAGTAAAATGCTTAATTTGCAGTGGCGGGATATAAATATAAGGAGAAGACAAGCTGTTGACAATAGCAAACCTTATTTGAGATTATGCAAACTCAATGACCAAAACTTGGTCCATTTATTAATATTATCATTATCTTGTCAGCATTATTATTCCATTTACTGAGTATTATCATTTATAATATAGCAGCATTCAGAGACCCAGCCAAAACTGGAGCCCCTTTCCTGAAGCCTGCAGTAATATTACTGCAAAGACAAAGGGAGGACAATACTGCCTGATAAGCCTGGCACTTGAAATGCTTGGGCTGGCAAGCTGAAAGCATGTAGGTAGCATCACCCATCTGAATATTTCCACAGACTGGATTTCCACACATGGCACAGATTTTTTCCAGTGTCAGGGTTTTATGGGTCTTTTCTCAAGCCAGTCAAGTCACCAAAACATCCAGATAAAATTATTGTCTTGTTTGGGAATTAAGGAATATTCTAGAGATTGCTACGGACTAATGAGTGAGACCCAAGATTCTATTCACAGATAGAATTACATCTAAACTTTTCCTGACAAAAAGAAACAAGCTACAACAATTGTTCCCACAGCTTAGTTATCTTTTTACTTTTTTTTTTTTTTTTTGGGTGGTGGTGTTGTTCTAGAAGAATAAGACAGATTGCAATCTGAATTTGGTAGAGAAAGAAATAATAATTAACTGCTTAAGAGAGCTGTTTCTCAAGCTGAATTGAAGATAGGCATCTCTGTGAAACCCACATGGTTCTTTGTCTCTAACAGCGAACAGTCTTGCCAGTAGCTTATGAGAAAAAGCAGTCTGGATAGGATCATGTGATGCACAGGCATCTAAGTTTTAGTAATTTTTTTCTTCTCCTTTTAACAAAGCTTTCAATAGTGTTAAGAATAGCTTAGGGGATAGCTTCACTGTACACCATGTATTTATCTCCTGGATGTTGTGCTGTAGATCTGGGTTCTGAAAGTAGTTAAAGTAAATGGTATAATTACAATTCTGCTTCACTAAATCACACTTACAGGTGTATTTTTAAGTGCAGCTCATATAAAATTACACAGGTAGAAAGGAAGAAATATGACAGCCAGATTCAGAGCACAGTAAAGCTTTAGCTGTATTTAAGATAAGAGGATTATCATGCTGGGTGAAGCTGTCACATAGATAATTGCTGCTACTAAAAATACCATTTGTCGTTAGTTACACTCATGAAATGCCACAACAGATTAAAAACAAACAGTGATATACAGAAGAAAATACAAAACAAAGAAAAATACAAGTTCTATCCACAGAAAAATATCTTTGAATTTTCATAGATGTGAAGAAGTGCTCTCGTCATCATCATTAAAAATGTTTCGTTCTAAAATACGATAGATGGATAATAAAAAGAAGAGGCCTTTAGATTACTGGATATAATATGAATGAACAGAATCAAAATCTACTATCACTATAAAGCACACAAGTTAAATGTTGCTTAGAGACAAATCCTTCCTCTGGCAGTGTGAGCACTTCTTGTTAGACCCCCTGCGGTCCCACCCAGGAGAGATGCAGACCATTAGTACGTGCTCAGACAGGTCCAGGTGAGCACTGAGGCCACAGAAACAGTATTAGATGGATTCCCCTGCTTTCCTTATTACTCATGGCGAGGGCTACGGCATTTTTGTTGCTGAAACCGAGTCCCTCAATACCATGTAACTAGACGTACCTTACTCTGTGCCACAGAAGAGCAGTAGCCTAAATTAAACAGCTGGGCAGTTCACAACTGCACAGAGTGTGACTGTAATTAAATTCACATTCAACTAAGCCTCTTCTTGATAAAATGAAAACCTTTCCCTGCTGTTTAAAAGCACAAACAGCCCCCTTAAAAGTGTGCTCTGCCAATATCGTCACCCAAACGTTCCGCAACACTGACCTACTCTTAGTGCATGTAAGAAGACAGTTTCGCAGATTACTATTTCATAAATTGAAGCAAAACCATAATTATTTTATTTTAAACAGTTGTTGTGCATATAAATTAAACTCCCTTTCCAAGGGCTACAAAGTTTCTCCAGATACACATTAACTTTCAATTTCTTCCACTTCTTACTCTAGTAATAACATTGTCCTCCTTACTGCAGTTACAGTTCAGAAGTTGCTTCTGCTGAGTGGAACACCTCAGTCTAGAAATATTTTTACCAAAAACTCTCCATAACTGTGGCCTCTCTCAGTGTGAATCCTACCTTTTAAGCACTTATTTTTAATTTCTGAATACCAGCTTGTCTGCATTTATCACTACTTTCACTTTGAGTTGCTGGAAGAACCTTCAGCTGATCTATATATCTTCTGAGATACTTCAGAAAGAATTCCTGCCTCAGTTAACATTCCCATAGCGATGACATTCCACACAATATACATCTACTTACATGCTTTAGTTACTAGGACCATTCTTAAATTCATAGTACGTTACCACTTTGAAAACCAAAATGCTTCTAGGTAAAATCTCCTCCCCTGTTCCACATCATTAACCTCACCAGCACCCAACAGAGTCCATACACTCAGGTCTTCTGGCTGTGGGACAAATGGAAACCAGCTTGCATCTGAAGATGATTTCCTACACATTTTCCCATTGTCGTATCTGGATTATTGCCAGAATCCAGGTATCTACTCACCCTGTCTCCTGCTGAAAAAAAAAAGCTCTCACTACTGCTTTCCAGTCTTTTTTAAAGATGCTTATCGCTGCATCCTATAATTTCAATACACCATGGTTCTGCAAAGACTCTCTTCTTCATCAATGATTCAAAACCCAAATAACATAATTTTCAGGAGGCCAGCTCAAACATTCCTTCTTGAATTTCAAAACTACTAATTCATTTGTTTGACTCAGGATGGGCTTTTCTTCATCCTTCAGTGTCTATATTACTGCTGACTTGCCCTTCTTCCTAACACTTTGTGCCAGCTCCATAAAAAGTAGACAGATTTTAGTTGTGCTTTTCAGCTTACTTGAAACTACTGCATTTCTCTTTTATTCTGGGCCATGGATTCGCTCCCTTTTTCACATACAGTCTCCAAGTAAATGCAAAACAAATGTATCACATTTGTCAGCTAACACATGCGGAAAGCATCAAGAAACAGTCATGCTCTATACATTTTTAGGGAACATGCCTTTATTAAACATTAAAATACAAAATCCACTGTCTTACCTGAAAGGTTCATACTCAATCTCCTTGGTGTGCTCAGGGTCAGTGGCTGCAAACACCTGTCTGATTTCTTGGGAGCGAGGTTCTGCTATGTCCTTCAGTTTCTTGAGGATGACACCAATATCAGCCACGGAGAACTTAACAAAGGAAAGCAAGACATAGATCAGAGAGAAAGGGATTATGCAACCAACTATGCATGTACCAGCCAGTGTTGTCAAGATGCAGGGCAACGTTCCACTGCTAAGTATTATTATTATCACTGTCTCACTTCAAATGCATGAATCAGCAATGTGTTAAGTTCAGGGGGAAGCTTGCTACTGGAAAAAATTGCCTCCTACGGAGAAAATCAAATATTAAACAAAAATCATGCACTCTCTAAAAGCTTATTCCAGCTACATAAAAGGACATCCAATTTTGCTTCAAACATTGAATTGTTAAAGCAGAAGAAGAAACACTTAAAAGTACAGATCTAATAACTTAGTCTCCATTTTATGTTGGTACATCTCACTTAATACTCTATTAATAAACTTTGCTATGTTAAAACTAATCTTTTCACCCTTAGCTCTGATGAACCATTGAAGAGATATTCATATTAGATTGAGTATGTTTTTTTACATACTCAGAATTAGCAGACTGGAAATTTGTTAGGAATCAACCTTTCCTGTTTCAAGAAGAACACTTATTTATTCTAAATACAGGCAATTAAAATAAAATTAAATTTAGGTGAACAGAACTGAAGCACTTAAGTTTCCACCCAACATTCAGACTGTTGTGTTAGAGCTCTACCAAAAATGTATCTGTTATACTCATTTTAACATAAAACGTCTATTTATTTAGTCATTAAATAGTGGACGAGTCCAAGCATGAATATCTGACATGCCCATACAACTATCATGCTCTACCTAACTTTAAAAGCGCAATGAACTGTCCAAAAATAGGTTTCTCTCATTTCTTCCAGTAAGCAATGATGTTTTAACTATCAACTATTTGGAATTTGGTGTGACTGATATCAGAGACCTAAGCCCAACAGAGATTGGGCCTCACTCTCAATTACGCTGAAGTCTGTCTACAGCACTGTGTCAGCTCAAAGGGATCTAGGAGAGGATATTTAAAGTCCCTATGGCGCTGCTAGAGCAGTATAAAGTGATCCAAGTTTAACAGATAATCAGTGGTAGCAGGTAACATGCTCAGATTTAGAGAAAACGGTTGCTGCATACACCAAAACTGCTCCAGGTACATCTTGGCACGCAATGCCGCGCAAGGCAGTGGTGTAGGGCAGCTGGACCAGCAATCAAACAGTTTCAGAGACAGCAACATTTTCAGCCACCTTCCCGAGCTGTTATTGCTCGGGCCATAAGCACACAGCTTTCTGCTGAAAAAGCAAGGAACAGAGACTGAGAAAAGACTGGGCAGAGGGAATCAATCAGCAGAACATTTAAAGATGGATGAAGTGTTCTGTCTGTCTAAAAACCTGCCCTCTCTACATTATCAAAGCAGCTATTTTTACATCTTTTTTCTAAACCACCCATTCCAAACACTTACATAGACATCAAGTATCCAAGCACCAAGGCAGTAACTCCTTACCCACTTTCCCCCCTGCTCATGTAATTGCTGACATGCTAGCAGTCACAATCTAGTTCGATTTGATTGTCTTGCTGAACTCCAAGGTTATTATGATTAGCTCAGTGGAAGTAAAATCAACCTCCATGTTTACACTGCAGAAGACTACAAATTTTGAAAAACTGAGACTGTTTCAGAGATTACGAATTCATTTCCAAGGAGGCACAGTGATGCCTTCTTTGAAAGAGTCCTCCTCAAACCTGGATAACACAGGTAGGACGGTGCACAACACACAAGTTCTGCTTTGCAAGCAAATTTAAACTTCCTAAATAAATCTTTTTTCTTTATATTGGAAAAGAAACTAAAAGCTTTGAGAATTAGATTCTTAAAGTTACTTTGAGTTCAGGTGGCAATCAAAATGACAAGACTCAATGATTTTTCTTTCCCTGTAACTTAAAAACAATACAATAAATACAACTTTGAAACAGAAAATTAAAACTTTCTAAATATCTCATACAGTGTCAAACAATTGTTTCAGTGACAGCAAAATCAGTTCCCACCTGCACTATGATCACCAATCAGTATTTTGTCTAAATCAACATGTGCCTATGGAAATGTGGTCAAAATGTCATTTTCCAGAAGAACATTCCATCTGGATTTCTTTCACCAGCTTTCAGAAACTGTACTGATGTGTTCTGCTGAAAGGAAACCTCTGTCTATTCAGAAGGAAAATTATTTCCTTTTTAATTTTAGACATAACTGACAAACAGTCATCTTAAAATAGTTTCCCCTTCTTCAAACTACTTTCCAGCCCTGCTCTTCTCCAGTAACTGCTGAAGTTCTTGTGATTTGAATACGCAATCCCCCGATGAACGGAGGCAAACCAGGTGTGTCCTTGCTTCTGGAACTCTATCCAAAGGATGTGAATAAAGCATCCATCACTGGGGCAATAAACCTTTTTTTCTACCAGCTGTTTTAAAATCTTAACTGTGCAAAGAACATTTCAAAATTCACTTTGAAGAAGTATTTTTAGTGTTGCTTCTTCCCATTTTGGAGATTTTCTTTTGATAACACACAATCATTCTGCCTGGAAAACGAAGATCTCATCTGTTTGATCCAAGATAATCAATGCAAACAGCAGTTTCAAAGAACACTTACAACCTAATGATGCGCTCTGCATTTTGGAAGGAGAAACAGTCCAGCAGTAAGGAAACATAATGTATACAGCTTTGGTTTTTACTGCTTAAAGGATTTACTACTTGTAGCATTTTATATCAAGAAGCATTCTGCAGACCTTCCTCGTTATTCCAGGGAAGGCAGGTGATGCCAACGCCACGTTAATTGACAAAGAATGGGATGAAGAATGTGTCCTCCTATCGGATACACTTCCGGCTTTGGTGAATGAGGGCTTCCTTACCACCCATTTCTACAATGACCAGTAGCATAAAGTACACATCATCAGAGGCACCCCAGCTATTTCTTGTTGTCCTCCTCTAAACGCAACACCAAAAGATGCTGAAACTTGGTACAAACTGTAAGCCTGAATTCCTGACTGTGGTATGAATTTCTAATATTACAAAGGAGATGCTTTGGCATATAAATACATATGAACCCAAAAAAATCAAATCAAGGGGTAAAATAGCCTCACCAGCAAGATTCTAAATTGGATGTGACCACATCTAGAGTACTGTGCACTGTCTCCGTATCTCACATCCACTCTCAACATCTCACAGTTGGCTTGCAAGGACAGGCTGAAAAGTGTGAGACTCATAACTGGATAGGACCGGGGTCAGGAAGAAGAATGTCTGAGATTTACAAAATTATGAAGGTGGTGCATAAGGTAAATGGGGATCCTCATCAAACCCCAAAACATTAGAAGTGGCATTGAGACTAATTGGAAGTTGGTTTAAAACAGATAAAAGATACTTAATTTTTTTTTTTTTTTTTTTTTTTTTTAAACTTTTTAGCCAATGAACTTTTCAACTTGCTGCCACTTAAGCTCTGGAAGCAGACAGTATCTGTAGGTTCAATAAGGGTTAGGTTAATTCAGGGACAAGAGGACCCTAAACAGTCTCACAAAGTAATAGGCAGGGATATACCCCTAATGCAGTAAGAGTGGATGCTGAGAGAGTAGAAGGCGAATGGACAGTAAAGAGTCGCCAGGCTTGCACGCACTGCCTAGCTAACATCTCCTAAATCCACTGCTAGACAGACAGCACTGGGCTGCGAACTTTGGGTGAAAAAACTAGGTATAAATAATTCTGAAATTATTTATATATCTGAATATATATTTATGTATCTGAAATTATTATATATCTGAAAAATATATAGATATGGTACAGTCCTTAAAGAAAGGAGAAAACAACAAAAGCCTGCTTCACCTCATTTGCATGCTTCTCCATGTAGTTGAACGTGTACTCATCAGCATCCACCAAAAGAAAGTTGTGACCATGGAAACAAACTCTGGCTCCTACAAACAGATTCTGAGCCGTGAAGTATTCAGATGGCTCACTCTTAAAGAGCTCCTGCCCAGGCTTCTTAATGCGGCCTCTTTCCAAGAACTTCCCACCAAGTAACCCTATAGGAATAGAATTGTAAATAATTAATTTTGTCTTTACTTGGGAACACACATTCCCCCCCCACAAAAAAAAAGAAAACCCAAAAGACACCCCAAGCCAGCTGGTTTGTGTTTAAATATTAGTTTTTATCCTTGAGTTTGCTGTCTCATAATATACTCTCCCCCTCCTCTCATTGCTAAAAGAACTGTCTCTGCCAGTGTCCACAGCAACAGTTACATTGTGCATATTCTATGACATGTCTCATTTGAATGCCTGCCAAACACCTTCCCTTTTTTTCTTCTATTTAAAATGGGACAGAAATGTGCCTCTTCAAATCTTTTCCCATAACCCTGTCACCAGCCTTCGGACTGACCCTTGAGAAATGTAAGATTTCAAAATGTAAGATACAGGCAATTATCCTTGAACTGTTAAAGCAAAAGGGAATTAAAAAATTCGGGTAACACAGGCCTACGAAGATCATGAATTCTGGTGCACTGGAATTCTAATTTCTTTTTAAGGGCTTTCAAATGGAAAAAGAAAAGTAAGGGTGACATGACACTATCTTTCACATACTCTTATGCCAATGCAATTTAACTGCAAGCTGTTATTTCCTTGTGAGCTGGCTATGTCACATTATTTCTTTTCACATTATTTGTTTTCACATTCTAATGATTTTATTTGCACCACTGGAAACCGTATGCGGTACTCAAGGGTCTGTGAGATACTAAAAGGAACAGTTTGCTTTCCAGTAGTATCTTCTGGTGCACCACAAGACTGCATTGCATGTACCCAGCCTTCCAGAAGATCGCCTGTCGGATGTTAAGTTTCATCAGGATATGTGCCCTACAATAACTATAGGGTGCCTGGGGTTTGTTTCCTGTTTATATTTGAGCTTCCAAGCCAAAAAGCATACTGTATTAATGTTTAATGATGTCTTACATATTAGTAGTGATGCAAGTCCAATAAAAGGCTGATGAACAGTGTAATAAAATGCACTTTATAGTCAAAATTATAAATTAATGTGAAACCCAAACTACTTATTAAACCAGAGTTTGGATCAGACGTCTGTCTTAATTGCTTTGCTAGCACCATAAAAGCAAAAGACAAAAAATACACTACGGCAATGATCAGGTCCAGCTTGAATAAAAAAAGCTATTCAAATAGCTAATGTAACTCTAATCTTAACACATTCTTTTTCACCTAGCTATTAAAACAAATACGAAATTTTTAAGTTATATAATCCTGAAACCTCTCTGTAATATTTAAACAGAACTGGTCCCTGTAAGATTGGAACTTCACTCTTGTCTCTGTATTGCCTTGTAACTGTGCACTCAGACTGCAAACCTACCTTAATACCTCCCATAATTGTTTCTTAAATGTTACAAGTGAGTACATTTCACATGGTATAAAGAAAAACAACCAAAAATACCTCATTAGGTTAGAGATTTTACACTGAAACTTGATGAGAAATTTTGATGGAAATCTACAAAAGCCAGGCTGAAAGCACAAAATAAACACCACAACCAAAGACCTTCTTCCATTAAGATCAGATCAGACTTTGCAGGTGTTTGTACAGCTGTTGGCTTGGTCTTACACTGACTAAAAAAGACTTGTGATCTCCTACATGGGGAGCCAAAGTTCTCATGCTTTGACCCCATCTCAACAAGTGCTTCAAGATGTCCAGCCCTGTGCATTTCTAATGCAGTTTCAGAGTGGTACTAATAGCGTGAAGTCGACCTTCAGGTTGCTGGACTAAGAAAAGAAAGAACAACTTTATTACTTCTATCTTAGGAATGAGATCTGAAATATTTTTCTTGCCGATTTCTACCAATTCATAGCAATAAAAAGGCAAAAATACCCCTTCGAACCTGTACACAAAAGGGATGGTCAAGTTGATCCTTTGGGAGGCATTTACTCCCCTCTAGGATGTGCTCAACCTTACTCTTCTCCCACCCCATCCACTTCAACACTTTTCCTTCTCACACATGAATGCTCTCTTGCTCCCATTTTGCAGGCCTTACTCCTTTTTCCTAGCTGCTTTTAGCTAACCTCTGCAAAGCCTTGTCATTCTTAACGTCGAAGAAAAGAGAGAAGAGAAGAGAAGAGAAGAGAAGAGAAGAGAAGAGAAGAGAAGAGAAGAGAAGAGAAGAGAAGAGAAGAGAAGAGAAGAGAAGAGAAGAGAAGAGAGGAGAGGAGAGGAGAGAAGAGAAGAGAAGAGAAGAGGAGAAGAGAAGGTGGGAACAAAGAAACTTCTGCAATACCAGGCTTCTTTCCAACTCCTGCTCTACCTCCTCCCACCCCACTGCCCCCTGCCTCTTCAAGACTCTTCCCACTAAACTCTCCCATGGTCAGTTCTTAGCTACACCCTTCCACTTCCCCTTTCTGTCGACTCTGAAAGTCAGCTACTCCATCCACTTTAAGATCCCAGAGAAGTTAAAAACCCATTTACAGATACTTGCCTTTCATACACGACTTAAAGTATTTGTTATTGTTGGTATGCAAACTTGCCCATTTATTGTTCCACATTTTGTTTGACTAGCAATGTTCAATAGGCTCCCAGCCGCAATCCCAGCATGTATTCTCCTTCCAAAATAAAAGGAAGTGGCTAAGCAATCTCTGGCCTGGCACCCATGCTGCTGAGAGCCTGACCAACCGACCACATCTGCACTGCACAGTGTGTGGCACTGGTTCTGCTCTGGGTGCTGTATGATAAATCTGGGGTCTTAAGACACAGCTATTATTGTTGTGTGTTCAAAATGTTTGAAGGTATGTGAGGGCTGTGCTGCAGGCCAACAGAGTGCTGTTTTGCAGCACAAAATGCTATGTATTGCAGCCTCTGGGTGTGGCAGGACCTGAATTTTTGAGTGTGCAAAACCTCCTGGGAAAATGTTGACAGACAAAGACGGAGCAAGACAAACCTGGTGCAGCCTTGGCCTTACTGTCTCGTGGGAGGGTTTCCTGGAGCTAAGCACCCTCCGGGAGATGTCCCAGGCTCTCTGCGGCCTTGTCTAGTTGGAATGGTACAACAGAGAACCAGGGGTGACCGAACAGACAACACATATGATTGGGATCAAAGATGCAAAATGCTCCCTGGACTTCATTAATTTAACAGTGCAGCTGTACCCTTAGCATCCTTTATGCCTCTGGACATACAGAATGCCAGTCAAACATGTCATTCACTAGTGGAGAACTGAGCTCCTCTTGAGTCTCACAGCAGCATTACATAATAAACACATACAGAAGTGTACGTATCTCTAGCTGCAATAAAAGAAGTTGCATAAATTACAGGTCCCTGGATGGCAGGAAACAAGTAAAACGACAATGGCAGGACACTGTTGCCACAAGCAGTGCTAAACCCTGATGTTGCAGTGGAGCAGGGCTAACTGGGAATGCTCATGAAGCCTAGGCAGGTGTTCTACACATTCTGAAAACACTTCTCAGAAAATTGCTTGTATTTCAGTTAGGGTTGAGGTCCCTCTTTATGCGTTCCTAATAGAGTTGGATACAAGCAGAGATTCCATTAGCAGTTCTTTGCATTGAAATGGCTCAGGCCTTCCCAAAAACCTAGTCATGTGCAGGGCACTCAAAAGGGCTTAACAGCACCACTGGCATAGCCAGAGTTCTCTAGGAATACAGACAGGTATTCACCCCACCTTCATTTTTTTATGGATGTGAATACTTAACTGTAAAGAATAAAGAATACTTAAGTGTAAGCTAAATAACTGGACCAAAGAAAGTCAAGTGCTGCCACCAGAGCCTGAAGCAGAGGAGAGTGAAGAGTGCTCCCTAGGACAGTCTTTGCTCTAGACAGTGAGCTGGGAGTACCAAATTAGGTCAGTGCTGCGCACCGTGAGCTGACCACCACTACTGTGCAGTGGTAGTATTCACCCTGTGTACCTGAAATACCATCCTAAGGTGCTCTGTGCCAAGAAGCTGACACAGGGCAATTCAAGCAGTAACAAAAGAGCTAGTCATGGGGTTCCACAAGAGACCAAGATGGTAACTAAGGAAACCTTCTAGTATTCTTTTTCTCTTGTCTTTGACAGAATGTGACTTCCTGCTTTTTTTTTCTCTCTCTGTGGTTTTATCAGAGGCTGACAGCAGCTTTTAAGTGTCTGTCCTTCAGTGGCACACATTAAGAAGTGCCAGAACACTTCTGGATGTTGACTGCTCTGAAACTGTTGCTGCAGACGTTTTGTGGGCTTCACAGAAATACACTGATCTCTCATGCTTAGCCAAGGCTTCCCCATCTCTCTCAGCTACAGAATGACTTTGCGACATCCTTCCCAGTACTGTGTCCTTTCACCTGTGCACAAGACACTCCAAGGAAATAAAAAGGTTCTCAGAAATCACAAAACCTTTCATATCCTCAGTTGGGGGCAGCCTACAACAGACAACAGTAGTCAAAATAATTGTGGTCATGACAACATTGGGTGGCCATGCTCCCAAATAGGTTACATGTGACCAAGCAACTGAGAAATAACAAAGCATTTGTCACTTAAACACTGGTAGTCTGGCTCATGAAATTCAGTTCAGTGTTATACACACGCACACACACATGCACGCACACACGTGTGAGCATGTAGACATCAGCATAGGTCAGTCTTCACTTTTTATATGCTCAACACTACATGATAAAGGAAGTTAAAGAATATCACAGCTGTTTTGCTTTCACGAGCTGCTTCTATATAATGGATGCTATACAGTAGATCTCACACCACCATAAGACAATCTGGCAAAACAAAGGATTTGCTCTTTCATTCTTGATGTCTTATATTTCCTGTCTCTACTTATCATTCATTATAATACAATTCCTGCATATTATCCACAACAAAAGCCAATGCTTGAAGGCCAAATTTGCAAATTAAAATACACCAATATTTCTAAAGCATTAAACTTCCAGTTCTCAAAGGATATTGTGAAGTACTGTCATACAATGAACAACGTTATTCGGAGTGATGAAGACTGTAAATTGCTATGACATGCAGCTATGTAGGATAATGCAGTAAACCTGATGTAATTCCCATTGCATTTAAAAATCCACATCCCTGCTTCTGCTAGTGCTGGGTCTGGCCACAATGTTTACTGTAACTCTAATCAAATGAGCGGGGCAACTGCGACTGATGGCAAGACATTAGTACATCTTACCTGTGTTTCGCTGGGTATGTTCAAAAACTGAAATGGTGTCATCACTCAGGAAGTAGGAAATAATGAATTTCCGATCCTTGTCAACAGGACTATCTGTGATGAGTTTTGCAAGAAAGCGCAGTATGTTACTTTCCATGCCCCTTCTAAGGGGCAAAAGAAGAGGTAAGAAAAAAAAAGAGAGTATAAGAAAAGTTTTCATAACTAAGAGATGCATTCTCCTGAGTTTTGTAACATACTTTACTTGTGTTATTACTGGACTAAGAAGGGAAACAGCATAAGGTTCCCTACTTTTCAAAAAAAGAACATTTTCAGCCTAAATTAACAGAACCATCCAGAGTCAGCCAGATAGACAGGAATAATTTTCAGGGGAAAATTACTTCTCTGCCACAGGTCTGGAATGAATTTGTATTCAAATTCAGTTGCAAATCAAGCTCCAAGTGTCTTTCCAGGAAATTTATAAAGGAAGAACACATTTAGGTATGTATATTTTCAAATCACATTATGAAGAGCAATACATACTAGGATTATCTCCACAAAATCAGGCCCACCAGATGATCGTACTAGTTGGATATTTGTTAAGTGATTGTGTTTTAAATGATTTACAGTACCGCTATGTGCATTTTCAATACATTCCCAAGCCTCTTTCTAATACTTTTCTTCTTTTATGGAGGTTCTACAGGTGAATCTCTAGCATGTGACTCCTTTCTGCTTAGGCTTCAACAACCACTGCCTGACAAACCATTTCATAGTGGAAAGTAAAGGGTTAATGCTTTAATATTGCTACAGTAAACTGCATGAAACTCAGCAGACTAAAAGAGTAAATGCCAGAAAGTCAAACAGAAAAAGAAATAAGTGTTGGACTGCTGAAGCACATAAAATTCCTGACTAATTCCTGGACAAAGACTTCCATCAAACTCCCACTGAAGTCAGCAGAAGGGAAGGAGGTAGGGGATGGGAGGGTCAGGATATTTGCCTTCTCAAAAGAGAAATTTTGCTGAGTTTGGACAACATTGGCGCACCATGTCACGGAACCCATCTCATGCACCTGTCCCTTAGAAGTCAGATGAGCTGCTGTTTTTCAGCAAAACACAACATCCCTACTTCATATTTATCACCTTCACAAAAAGACACAATTAAAAAAGTTGGAATGAGTTTCCACTGAAATACCTGTCTTTCTGCATGAATTTCTTGAGATCTTTCTGTGGAGGCTTAGGAAGCAGACCCATACAGGAGCACAGAGAATCCTCTTCGGAACCAAATCCAGTGTAAGGAGGAAACTTCTTTTCTGGTTTTGGAGGCGGTGGAGCCTTATATGGAACTGGGGTGAAATCCTCTACAACAAAAACAGCAAGACTTACTTATTAGTGTTCTGAAGAAGCCATTCTGCTAAGGATTTAAACCTCCATTACTAATACTTAATAGCCTATTTCTGTAACAAAACTGATCAAAATCAAACCAGGATCTGTCCTACTGTTACAGGGTAGATAAAGACTCCAGAGAAGCCAACAGCAAAATTATTGTTGCTTCAAGCGTTTCAGGAATTAATCTATAATCTTAAAATGTTTGATAAATGTTGTTAAGTTACACAGGCAAAAAGAAAGACAAATATAGTTTCAAAATGAAATAAAATAATAGATCAACAATTCTAATTAATTTTTCAGTTTTATCCTTTGAGGCAACATGATTAAGTAAATACTTGGCTTATGAGTTTCCTGCCCTCTGCTTTTTGCCAGAGGAAAATAAATACATACATAAATAAAATTTTATTCATTATTTAAATCATATATCTGAGAGAAGAATTTGGTACATTGAGCCAATAGCTTCAATCCACATCTCACTTTATCCAGAGTTTCGCAAGCTTTGTTTTTCCCCATTTTCCCCAGTCTCAAGTCTTTATTCACAGTGTTCAATGGTTCCGACTATCCCAGGTACACAGCAGGAGCTCTCCCGGCTCAGCACAGACACACAGGGGTTGCTCCCAAACGCTCTGCTGCCCTATGGTCCCTCCTTACTCCTTTCTTGCTGAAAATGTTGCTGTACCATTTGGCGCCTTGTTGCTTCCCTGCAGTGCTCTTTCACTGCAACACAGCTTCCAGCTGCCAGTGGGGTTACATAAAACAGTCATACAGTCTGCTGGTTAAATGGAAATGGAAAAGGTGAGAGGAAAAAAGTAACTTCTATATAGGAGAAAATTAATGGGCAGACCTGAGACAAATGAAGACATAAATCATAGGAACACAGGATAAGTCAGTCTGGATGGGAACTCGGGAGTCCCTAGCATGGCCTCCTGCTCAGGACAGGGTCAGCCCCAGGCCAGACCAGGCTGCTCAGGGCTGTGTCCAGTTAGGGCTTGACACCTCCCAGAGCCTGCACAGCCTGCCCAGGAAGCCTGCTCCAAGGAGGAAAGTTTTTCCTGATATCTAATTCTGAGCCTCTTGGTTCCACTTACGCATGTTGTTTCACGCCTTCCTGCCATGTATCCCCGTGAAAAGCCAGGCTGCTGGTCTCAGCAACCTCCCTGTGGGTGGGTGCAGGTGGCCGCTCAGGGCCATTCACCAGCTGAGCAAGCCCTGTCCCTCTGGGTGTTCCTCAGCCCTGACTGTCCTGGGGCCTCCCCTGAACTCACCCTGGCTGGTCCATGTCTTTCCTGCCCTGGCAGACCCAAAAGGTGACACAGGACCTTGATGAGCTCTCACAAGCAACAAAAGAGGATAGTCACTTCACTTGATTTTTTTGGCAGCCCAGGCTGCAGCTAGGCTTTGTTCACTGTGGCCTCAAGCCCAGCTTGCTGCCTCCCCCCAGCCCACAGAGCCCTTCCCGCACCAACGCGGGTGCATGAAGAGGGTCAGAGCCGAGCCAACCGGCTCAGCACTGCCTGCAGGGAGCGGCATCACCTCCACACCTGGGAAGGCTGGAGATGCTGCCCTGAAGAAGGGAGAGCTGGCTGGCCCCGTAGGTGAAAGACAAACACATGAGGCAAACTGGAAGATGGATCACAAACTGCAGCCCAGGGGACAGAGCGATACAAGTGACCAGTGTGTAAAAGTGGATCCCATGAAATAAAGTTGCTTTCTTTAAAAGTTACCTTTCTACCCAGAACTGAAGCAAGATGAATAACCTACACCTGTAGCACAGGCTTTGGTGCAAAGAATGACAAAGCTGCTGTGACTGAACATTTTCTGAACTGGTTTGTGATAAAAACGTTTTACACATGGCTACATCAGAAGACCAAAGCAACATACTCTCTTACAATCTGACTTGCCTAACAGCAGTATAGAAAGTGGCAGATGCATAGAGATGGCACTTGAGGACATGGTCTACTGGGCATGGTAGTGTTGGGTTGATGGTTGGACTGGATGATCTTATAGGTCTGTTCCAACCTTAGTGATTCTGTGAAAGCATTTGGATGTCTGAGTGTTTCTGTAACTTGAAAACACGACGAGACCTCCTTTGGCCTTTACCTCTTAGAAGAACACAGTATGACTCAAAAAGCTAATTCCTGCACCTGAATCGGTCAAAAAGGGCTTTTGCCAAACCACGCCGATGTTCTTCTCCGTAAAAACTACAGGTGCCCTTCCTGTGACTCAGAAGTACGAAGGTGAAGACCACATGCAAAAGGAAGTCCGTTCAGAAATTTTCAAAGCACTCTCTGCCTCCAGCAGCAGAGACGCACCAAAACGCTACTTTCTAACGACTGTTAGTGATGAAACTGCCTCTCGAGACGCTTGCAGCAGGCTACGGTACCTAACCTGCACGTACCGTTCGTGCCACCCGAGTCGGCGCGTGGGCAGATGGCCGGCCGCGCAA